CTTTCACTAAACCCAACCTGTCCAGGCTTAACCATTTTGCTCATCAGCCCTACCCCAATTCACCCAATCACCAAGTCCTGTTCATTGGGTCTTGTGAATCCTACTTTGTTTTCTCATTCCTATTTCCTTGGTTCTCCCACTGTAGCCCACTCCCTAACTACATTCTCCCTTGAATGCTTATTGCCCACCTAACACTTGCTTAAGTTTTCCAAGTCGGTAAGCATGTATGCTCTTTCCTCTGCTTTGATCATTTTGCCTTGACTTAATCAGACCAAGGGGCTTTTCTTGTCTGCTTCCCTGTAAAAAGGTTTAGTAAAGCCTTCCATTTTACTTAATCCACACAATCCTCAATTTTAAAGATGAGAAAACTGGACTAAACTTAAGCCACCACAGCTGTTATGGTTTGGACTGCAATCTCAAACTTCATCTCAATCTTTTAAGATACTGTATTTATACATCTTTGGATCTTCAGTGTCTATTTGGAATCAATTAAACACTCTTATCAACTATAACCTGTTTAAACTGATGGCCTCAGCTTCCATTTTATAGGTACACTATGGGAAAACCCATGGGTTTTATCTTCATCAGGACTATTACAAAGAAGCAAATCCAAATGATAAAGTTATTTGTACAAGGGAGGAAAGCCTTCCTGGCACTTTTCTTAACCAAATCCACAAAGTTTGCTCCCCTATGCTTCCTTATGTTTGAGGGTCTGCAAAATCCTCATCTGATTCCAGCTTCTGGCTTTTAGGATTTCCCAAATTCTATACTAGGTACATTTCAGACCAGAATCATTAATATCTCATGATGTATTTCTTTGAACATTACGACTCCTCTGCACAAGGACACAGGCTTTCTAGATTCCAAACCACTCTGATGTGTAAAAGCCCTGGTGCATTTAACATTCAGATTGGTAGGCCCCATCTCAAGATTTTGGTTATGACTAGAACAGTGTGGTACAAGATGAGGGAGCCAAGGAGGAAAAACTTTAGTTTCAGGAATTACATCTTTCACAATTGCTTCAATCCTAACACATTGTTCACTATTTAAAATGTGCCTATCAAACTGAGTCTTCCTCTTTCCGGGTGCCTGGCTCAGTCAGTAGTGCATGCAACTTGATCTCTGGGTTATGAGTTAAAGCCCCCACACTGGGTGTACAGCTTACTTCAAAACAAAACAAAACAAACCCCTCCACACACAAAAATCCCGAATCTCCCCCGTGAGCCATGCATGACAGTTAAGGGTATTCTCCCACTCACTGTATTTTCAGAGTATACGATGCAGAACAGGCCTTTCAACTCTAAGATACACAAATATGCTATCAACAAATATTCTCACTTTATAAATGTTCAAGGTAGGTAATGGGCCAAGTCCTTTTAAGTACTGGTGCTATCTCTTGCACATTTTCTGAGTTGGCAAAGGAGCTCAGGCCCTCATACCCTTACTCCTGGATCTGTTACGTGGCTTTCAAATGTACAGGTAAGAGAGGTAGGGGTGCTAAAGAACTTACACACCCAGACCAGAAGAGAAAAGCAGTTGTTAGTATTTAATGAACCTCTCTCCATGTGGCTTCAGGCTACCAGGACACAGGCTCCCCCCACACCCTTAATCTTCTCCTCAGCTCTTCTACTGAAGAATTTGGCCTTCACGATGACAGGCTGTTTGGGGAGCTTTCCCTTTCCCAATACTTTGTAGTAGCCCTGGAGAGATTGGGAAAAAGAAAAAAAAGTTTATAACACACACCATTGCAGGTACCAACTCCCTGATGCGTATAAAGAAAGATGTCTGCCAATCTGCTCCATCTAGGAACTGGGAGGGCATGTTTCTGATCTGGGCACTACCGGGGGCACAGAATGCCCTCGCCAGTGAATCAAGACCAGTGGATTCTCTCTGAGGACTCTAGCACACCAGGACAAGAGATGTGTCAGGATGTGACTCTAGCCTCAGGCAAAGCACAAACTCCCCTCTCCAATTACTAGCTGATTAACAACAAAAAAAGAAAAAGAAAAAAAAAGAAAGGGAAAACCACATTCCCAGCAGTATTCCAAGAAGTCCTGACCATGAAAATTGCTCAAGTGATGTTACACAGGGAAAAGGGATTTAAAACTTAACTGAAAGCCCCCTTAAGATTTAGAATACCTCCACACCCATGGGAGCTGACACTACGCCCAGAGCTCCAAAAAGATATACAAAAATCCTTTGTCATCATCAGTGTTTTGGGGTGTGGGTGGGAATCTCTTCAGATAATGTAGCTCCTTAAATAACAACCAAACATATTAGGACTTTATTCTGTAAGGGGAATAAAGATTCAAGAGCTGTGCCTCATGTAAGCAGACCAGAGCCAGTTGAGTTAACATACTGCCAAAAGCTCAGGCCAGAAATGCAAACCTGTACAAATCAGGGCAACAGTGGGAATGAAATTATGGATTGGAAAAACATTCAAGAAAGAACAAATACAAGTACTTGAATGAATGAGGGACTGGAAAGATTATTATTCTTCCAATGTTTTGCTTGAATCACAATTGAGCTCAATTTTGGTGAGTTAGCTGTGACAATTCTATCAAGAGGTGGACCAGTCTGAGGGCACCTGGGTAGCTTAGTCGGTCAAGTGTCCAACTCTTTATTTCGGCTCAGGTCACGATCTCATAGTTTGTGGAATTGAGCCTCGCATCAGAATTCTCTCTGCTGCTCCCCACTCCTACATGCAAGTAATCTCTTGCTCTCAAAATACACCTTTAAAAAAAAAAAAAAAAAAAAGGTGGAACTGTCTAGTAGATAACTGGGTATGGATTCCAGGCAGGAGATCAAGTAGATTAGATTACGAAGAATTTTAAGACACAAGGACCATATAAAGGTAACAAATATTCACTCACCGATCGCACCACATCAATGATAGGAGCAGCTCCAGTCTTGTTTTTGGCAGCATTTACCCGTGTCTGCTCACTGACCAAGGTCCACAGTTTATCAAGGTTAACAGTTGGGCAGAAGCTCTGGTTTCTTTTTAAGTGGTAATGCCTCATACCAACTTTTCCAAAGTAACCTGGATGACTGGGAAGAGACGGGCACTTTAATGATCTCCCTTTAGTGACGTTTACCATCCTCACTGTCCATCTCCCTCGGTTATAGTGTAAATTGTTCACTGGTGGATTATAGTGAAATAGCAGGTACCCCATTCGTTGCTGAATTAAAACAAATCTTTAAGAAAAGCCTCCAAAGATGTTCAGGAGTAAAAAACTACCCTTATTTCATGGAACCAGAAGTCACTTAGAAAGTAAGAGGCAGTGCCAAGACTAAAGGTCTTCCAGCTCACTTGACAGCATATTATGGAAAATCAACACATTCTTAGAATAGAGGTTTTCTAAGCAAATTTGGGGGAATAAGTGAATCTAACAGGTATACAGGTTAATCTGATGCATGTCACTAACCCGGTGACTGACTATGCCATGAGGGTCACAGCCAGTGAATAAGGTGAGCAATTACTCTTCGAGGACTCTAGCACACCAAGGCAATAGCTGATACCCAAGCGTGACTCTAGCCTCGATGACAAGTTCTCAGTTCACATCAAATGGTAACCTGGTGAAAGGTAAAAGCCAGGAACAGACAAGGCTTTTGAGTGGTAAGAGGCTTGCTTCCCATTAAAGGTGTTCTAGGGCAGCCCTCTGCCCCTAAATGCAGACTGCCAGTGCCAGTGAAAAGTACAGTATAGCTAAGAGGCACTCACTATTTGTCAAAGTTGATCCTGTGGTGATGCATGCCACCAGCATTACCCCGGCCTCCTGGGTGCTTCCGGTGCTTGCCTGCAAGAATACAAAGTTACAGTTAACATACCCTCACCAGCCCCTCAATTCTTCTCCCAAAACCATTTCTCCACATTTCCGCATCTCTACTTATCTTGTTCCCAGTCTACAATACCTCTCTAAGCATTGCTATTCCTTCAAAACTCCAGGTGAAACATCTCTATGCAGTGTTCCACATCACAGCACTATCCACAGTGCTCCATGCCTTCAATCAATTCAACACTTTGCCCCAGTTTTCATTCATTCCTCCAAATGATGTGAAATTCCCTAAAAATGGAGTACTGGTGAGAATTCTCACAGGGGAAAGAAAAAAACAGCTAACATTCAAACTTAATCCGAATGACCACACAAAGCTAACCCACTTCTACCGTACCTACTTGCTGGCTAGCTAAGGACCCGACAGGGAGTTCAAAGCAGACCGGGATGGGACGCCGGCACTTACCAATGCGGCCGTGGCCATGGCTCACGTGGCCCCGAAGTTTCCGGGTCTTTCTCAGTCTGGATGGCTGTATGAAAAAAGGTGCTTGGTATTAAGGCCAAAGGGAGGTAGGTGTGGCAGGGGGCCAACTTGCCCGTCTGCGAGGCGTCTGTAGGCCTGGGGAATTAAGATCTGCTTTGTAGCACATTCAACAAAGTTGATATTACGAACTGGCTTGGGGACAAGCGGCCTCATCAGGGCGGCGCCCAAGCGCGCCGGCCCGCGTGTCTCAGAGACCCAAACTCCGAGCGGAGCACGCGGCACCAAGGTCCCAGGCCCCTGCCGGGCACCCTGCGCTGAGGCCTGCCATGCGCGGCCTGGGAGACCGGGCTAAGGTGAGGGGTGGGTGGTTGGGGTGCAACGCGAGTGCAGCTCGCGGCCTGAACCAGCAACAACGGGGAAGCACGAAAATAAGCACCTACCATGTCGGCGGCCCAGAAGAAAGAGGGAGGGCTCCGCGAAATCTCGCGGTACTGACAACGGAGGCGGAGCCAATGAGACTCACTTCCGGCCAGGGAGACCGGGCCTTGGGCGGGGCCTCTTGGGTCTCGCGGGTCTCGCGTGACTACAAGGCTGGCCCCTGCCTCTTTTTGCGGGGTGTCCTGGTCCTCTCCAGGAAATACCAGTGTCCCTGACGTGTGGGAGTCGTGCTGGTCGCTACCTTCTTTCGCTCTGGCTCTGAAGCTGAGAGCTTTCGCGGAATCCGGCGCTTGGGGCGCTGTGTGGTCCAAGCTGTCGCGGTGACTTGGCCCTGGAACCCGACTAGGCCACCGTACCCGTCAGACGCCCCAGTTCTGAGTCGTCCAACGCGTCTCACTCGGTTCTTGCGGTCTGCTCGGCCCTGGCGGTAGCAGTTGCTCTCTTGTCTCCCAGCCGCAGTGAGGATTCGCGAGACGCTATTTGATCCTCAGCGTGCTTACCGGTGTCTCGCTCGGCTACCTTTGGAGTCTTTCACTAGATGTCTCCACCACCCACCGGCACCTGCTGACCTACACTCCAGGGAGGCGTTCGGTCTTAATTCCTCCTTTGCCCTTGTGCTATCTTCTGGGCCTCCACAGATTGAACAATCTGATATATTTCAGGCACCAGTATACCTGGTTGCTTTATGGTCCTTTTTATACAGACTCTGTAAATACTTTTTCTAACCACCCAGTTTGAATTTTCACCTGAACCTAGTTGACATGGCCGTGACCTCCTCTCCTGGACTAGAGAATCCCTGTTCACTTAGACCCAGTGCAAGTGTCTCTTTTCCTGTGAAACTTCTCTGACCCATTCAATCATTGTTGCTTACTTTCCCCACTTGTGCCCTCACACAGTCAAGTGCATAGCTCTTATATAATTCTTGATCCACATTTGTCTTCCGTACTAGACCAAATTCCTTAATGGCTCAGGAATATTTTCTTTTATCCATGCACTCCCAGTTCCTGGCATGTAGTGCATGTTCAACAAATTATTAAGTGACCGAATGTAACTACTCTCACCTCCCTGTCTTCACTAACTGGAAGAGCCCTCTTTCGAGTCTCAATCAGTGTTCGAAATCCCATTCTTTCAATTACTCTGTGTGTGTATTTATTTTCCCTGCCCCATTCCTGTCAGCTAAAATATATTTTAGCTAAATATCCTAAATTCTCCCTGACTGTCTTCTACCTGCTACCCTGGCTTTTTCCTTTACAGCCAAGCCCCCCAAAAGCGAAGTCTACAAATTCTGTCCATTTGTTCATTTCCCATTCATTGTTTAATCCACTGTAATCTAGCCCTCAGCTACACTACTTCATTGAAATTGCTCTTTTTCGAAGCATCAATTAAACAAATACCAGTTGAATGGACTCTTCCTATTCCTCATACCACTTCTCTCTGTTGTACTTTACCTCTTTCACTTCTTTATAGAAATTCTTGCCTTCTTCTTGTCTCTCTGGCCACTTCACAGCCTTTTCAGGTTCTTCTAATTTTATGCACCATTCAAGTAGTGATATTTTTCACCCTCCGGTTCTTGCTCTTTATCTTTTCACAATACACAGTCTTCTTGGGTGAATTTAATTTGGGTGGCTTCAATTCACAATGTTATTGCTGAGCTCCACACTCATGTGTTTACTTAATTTCTGATTATTATTCCTTGGACATTCTACAGACAAACTAGGTAAACATATTCAAAGACTTCAATTTTCCTTTCTCACCGGTGCCTTCTCCTTTATACTGTATCTTGGTGAGTGGTGCTCATGTCCACTTAAATAGTGATGTCATGGACACCTGAAAATTGTTCCCGAGCCTTCTTTTCCTCTAATACACTGTCACCATATCTGTTTGTTCTCTATCTCAGATCTGCTTCCTCCTTTCAAGCCCCCATGGCACTGCCTTCATTAAGACCCTCATCATGTCTCTTATCCTGAGTTCAGCATCCTCCTGTGGCACCCTGCCTGCATTCTAACCCTCCTCCAGTCCCTTCATCCTTCACACCTCTGCCAGGTTAATCTTCCCAAAACATAACTTTCATCCTTTCACTTACTTGATCAAAAAGTTGGGTAGCTCCCTATTACCTACAGAAAGGCCTATGTGCCTTTCCAAACCAACCTCAGCTTTTCCTCTTATACCAGCTTTCTGCTGTAGCCAAACTTGCTACATACATTCTACCTTTTTGCCTGTGCTGGTGCCATTTCTCATGCCTATACTGCTCATCTTATTCCTGAACAGATATCCTGAATCTCCCTCAACGTTTAGGGCCCACCTTATATTCTGCTTCTTCCCAGAACACTCCAGTCCAGAGTGATAATAACCAAATACACCTTGCAATCTTACAAATTGCTTCTGCCTGAGAGGTCAACACTACCAGCTCCATTTTATGAATGAGAATGAAAGAATTGAGGCACAGAAGTTTGAATGACTTACCGGTGGCTACAGAGCTGCCAAGATACAGAGCCTGGGCCTACCTAGCCTTTAGTCTTCTCTTTCCAGATCTGTTTTTACCTCAGTGACCACTCCCTCTCTGACCTCACAGCATTATGGTCTTCATCACTCCTTCAGTCCTCAATCACATACTGCCTGTGGCCAGCAGAAACAGGGGTCTTGAGAGTCGGGGGCAAGGTCTAAGAAGAGATCACCCTGTATTTGACATTGAAGTTGGCCAGAAAGTGCACAAGGGATGAACCGAGCTACCTGGAAACTACCCTTGGGAACATGGTCTGTGAATGGAGGTAAGCTGGGCAGAGCTTTGGGAATGAAAGGTAACCATCAAGTGTCTTGTGAGGAGGGCCTAGAGCCAGGACAAATACTGTTCAGGGGGTATAGGTAGGGTTCTGGGTAATTGGCACTGCTTCTGGATAGTTTTGCCAGGTTCTTTGGTTATAGAGGAGCTATATCCTATCCCTCAGGCCATCCATCTGAATGGAAATTCTCCGAGTGGACCAGCACTCTGTGTTGGGTTCTGTGTTCACCTAACATTCTTCTCATTGATGGTTCTATCACGGTGGAGGGAATTCCCTGGGTGATTGTCTGGCTCTGGTTTCTAGCAGGTTCCCTTTCATTCCTAAGGGCTCATGTGTGGTTTGTCAATGTGGGTCGGTTTCCCTAGGCTGACCAGCTCTGAGACAGCAAGTTCTGTATCTGCAAAGTTGAGTAGCATCCAGACATTAGGCATTAGGTAACCTGTCCCTCTCCACCAGGCACACGGAAAGTGCTGAGACATGACCTCTGAGAGGCCTGCTTCTCTGTGACATCTCTTCTGAAGTAGAGTGTGGTCTTGTGACATCTCAGGCATATGGGCTCCCTCAGAGAGTCAGGGCCTCAGAAAATATCTGTGAAATGAGCAGAAGGGAGATGATGCCAGACAGCAGCCTGGCGAGACAGGTAAATGTGGTGCTGACCTTTTCTGGAACCCACGCCTTTCTCTAGGGAACCTTATGAACACACCCCACCCTGAAGAGGGCTCTGGTGGTCCCCTTTTCTTTTTCTCCTCTCTGGGTTCCTGAGTTCCTTAGCAGTCCTTCACATGGCAACAACAGCCTGGGTAGATCCAACCTGGTTTTCTTGCTCTCCATCTTTAGGTTTGGACATTTGGAAAGATTATGTTGCTTTCCTTTTTCAAGTAAAGGATTGTTAATTTAAGATGGAAAGAGCCAGGGTTTTTTTTTTTTTTTTTTTAATGTTTATTTTTGAGAGACAGAGTGTGAGCGGGGGAGGGGCAGAAAGAGGGAAACACAGAATGTGAAGCAGGCTCCAGGCTCTGAGCTGTCATCACAGAGCCCGAAGCGGGCTCCAACTCACGAGCTGTGAGATCATGACCCGAGCCAAAGTTGGACGCCCAACCAATTAAGCCACCCAGGCGCCCTAGGGTTTCTGTTCTTTTTAAGTGAGAGTTCTAGAAAAACTCAGAAATCCTAATGTATTTCAGAAAGGATTTTAAAAATAGCATGTAATAGAAAATCCAGTAAAACATTAAAGAAAAATCTTTAAAAATATAAGTATAAACATCTCAAATGATAACACTTTATAATGCTTTTTTATGTCTGAATATTACTTTCAGCTCTTGTCTACGTGGAGACATAGCTATCTACAAAGCTGATGATCATGCATACAAATCCTTTTGTATTCTGCTTTTCATTTAATACCGTGACATTTTTCTGTATCACTACTCAGTCTTCATGATTATTATTTTTAATATCTTAAGACTGATTTATCTTCAGCATGTACTGTAATTTACTAAGCCATTTTCTCCTGTATTTTTTTTTTTGTTTCTTTTTGTGTTTTTGGTTGTTGTTCTTATTGTGTTCTTTGCTATTAGAGACAGTGATGCAATGGACATTTGTGTGTATGTGTTTTTTCTTCTTCTATTGAATAGCTTGTCTAGGGTAAATTCCCAGGAGTGAGATTGCTGTATTATAGGGTATGAACATTTTTATGATTCATTTTATGCTATTTTTTTCCCCAAATGGATTGTACCAATTTATGCACCAGCAGCATGTATAGTTACCACTTTCAGCTACACCAGGCTCGGGGGGTTTTGTTGTTGTTGTTGTTTTGCCTTTATCAGTAGTTTTTGATAAATGGCAATATAGTATTTAGAGAAAAATCCATAGGGCCACAGGGTTTTCTTGAGCACAAAGTAAAAATAATCTAATTTGAAGATTAGGAATTTCCAGGAGTCTTTCCTAACGCTGTTGAGTAGATTTTTTAAAAATCTCATTATACTACATGGAAAATGTATTCCTAGAAGCTTTGTTGCAAGCTAAGGTGGAAAACCTTGCTGCCATTAAACTCAGAATAGCAAAATGTGAAGAGAGGAATTCTAGGATATTAGAGGACAGTTTATCCAATAGCACAACAAGGAAGGGCTTAAATATTTGGATTTTAATTTAATTTCAGATGATAAAATCAGCAGAAAGAACATAGAAGCTTGGGTTCATTTCCTACCCCTTTTTTTTTTTAAGTTTATTTATCTACAGAGAGAGGAGAGAGAGAATCCCAAGCAGGCTCCACACTGTCAGTGTGTGTGGAGCCTGATGTGGGGCTTGAACCCACCAACCACTACATCGTGACCAGAGCTGAAATCTGGAGTCACCCAGGCACCCCTCTACCTCTGTTTTTACTAGCTGAATGATATTAAATGAACAACATACTCTCTTTGGATCTTAGTTTTCTTGTTTGTCTAATGAAAAATACTGAGATTTATTCTTTCATTTTAGAAATATTTATTGAGTGCATACTGTGTGTAGACACTATGTATATGTGCCAGGCAGTGAGGAGTTGGGACAATGATGAACAAGAAAGACTAAGTTCTGTTCTAGGACTGTGTCTAAAATAGACAGTATACAAGTAAACAGATAATATATCATGTTCAAACCGTCTAGCATCGAGTGGGTGTTCTCTCATTGCCTAGTGTGTCTCTCTCCTCTTTTCCTCCTGAACTGAATCTTGTTTTGATGAACACTTGCTCTGTACTACCCGTGCGAACAGTCTTTGAAATTCTTACCCCCAATGTGGCATGGAATGACTTGCTCTGCCATTCCTTGGCAAGGCTACAGAAACTCTCAGATCAGGCTGTGGGGTGTTAAAAGGAAGTGATTTGTGAGCAAGGTAATGTTATATGTGAGGCTTTCTGTCCTTCCAGGCTTTCACATGATGTTTCATTTAGTCCTAGTTTCCTGGTTCCATGACTTAGAGCAGAGGTCTCAGGCTGATTACTGGTATATTTTGTTTGACTCATGCTGTTTTCAAGTTTTTATTTTTTTTTTAATGTTTATTTATTTTTGAGAGAGAGGGAGACAGAGTACCAGTGTGTGTGTGTGTGTGTGTGTGTGTGTGGCGGGGAGGGGGGTGGACAGAGAGAGAGAGAGAGAGGGAGACACAGAATCCGAAGCAGGCTCCAGGCTCCGAGCTGTCAGCCCAGAGCACAATGTGGGGCTCAAACTCAGGAGCTGTGAGATCATGACCTGAGCCAAAGTCTGATGCCTAACCACCTGGGCCACCGAGGCACCCCTGTTTTCATGTTTTTAAATTTTAATTAGGGGCGCCTGGGTGGCGCAGTCGGTTAAGCGGCCGACTTCAGCCAGGTCACGATCTCGCGGTCCGTGAGTTTGAGCCCCGCGTCAGGCTCTGGGCTGATGGCTCAGAGCCTGGAGCCTGTTTCCGATTCTGTGTCTCCCTCTCTCTCTGCCCCTCCCCCATTCATGCTCTGTCTCTCTCTGTCCCAAAAATAAATAAATGTTGAAAAAAAAAATTTAAATAAAAAAAAATAATAAATTTTAATTAGTTGCCAACGTTTTAGAGTTTAAGTAAAAATTTGGATTTCTGGCGCTTTGAAAAACTATGTGGACCCACATTCTTTTTATTATTATTTTTAATGTTTATTCATTTTTGAAAGACAGAGAGACACAGAGCACAAGCAGGGGTGGAGTGGGGAGAGAGGGGGACACAGAATCTGAAGCAGGCTCCAGGCTCTGAGTTGTCAGCCCAGAGCCCGACATGGGGCTCAAACCCATGAACCGCGAGATCATGACCTGAGCCAAAGTCAGACGCTCAACAGACTGAGCCACCCAGGCGCCCTGAGACCCATATTCTTTTAGGTGGAGCACTTCGCTATTTACATGCCTGGCCCCCATAGGCATTCGAATCTGCTACCCCTGGCTTAAGTACATTCTGCCATACTCTATCCCTTTTCCTAGGTCAGAGGAGGTAGGAAGGAGAGTGAAGAGCTAAGACATAGTGGAAAGCAGCCAGAGGAAGGGGATAGAAGAGAGGTCATTTGACCGTCCCCCTTTACTCTCAAATCAGAGACTCTATTGTTTGGTTGTGCCTTTAATTTAACCTTTACCCTCTGAGTTACTTCAGTTGCTCTTCTAAGACAGAAGTGAAATATTTATTTATATTCTTACCCTGAGTAGTGCCCACTGATGTTGGAAAGCCATGTCACCACTTTGAATCCCCTGAGTTGTTATTTATTTATTTTTAAAGTTTATTTATTTATTTATTGAGAGAAAGAGAGAGCATAAGCGGGGAAAAGAAAGAGAGAGAGGGAGAAAGAGACTCTTAACAGGCTCTGCACCGTCAGCATAGAGCCCGATGCAGGATGATCTCATCAACCCTTAAGATCATGCCTGAGCCGAAATCAAGAGTTGGATGCTTAACCAACTGAGCCACCCAGGCACCCTCCCCTCCCAGAGTTGTCATTTAAAGCCTAATGCAACAGTTCTCAAAGTATGGTCTGTAGACCTATGGCAGGAAGCAGGGGCAGGGTGGGGATGGTGATGGTCCCTGAGACTCTTTCACAAGTGTCCACAGGATCACAAGTTTCCACAGAGTCAAAACCATTTTCATAACACTACAGAATGTTATTTGCCCTTTTCACTGGATTGGCATTTGCACTGATAGTGCCAAAGCAAATGCCAAAGGTGGTGTGTAAAAAGCCAAAGATGCTGGTAGAAGTCATTGTATTCTTCACTGCTAGGCACTCACAGGAAAAGGGAAAGGACAGGAGGAGAAGGGAGAAGCCAGTTTCACTTAGGTGTGTCCATGATGAGGTAGGCAGTATTTTACTAAATTCCAGTCCTTAAATATGCATCATTTTAATATTCTTTGTGAAGAAACTGGAAGTGTGCATAAAGCATTTCTACTTATCAGGGTGAGGAACTGCACTTGTACTATTATTTGAGTTGCAAGCTGAACTAGCCTTTTTTTTTTTTTTTGTACAACACCAGTT